TGGGCTAGGGCAGTTTGGCTCTTTTATAAATATATATATATATTGGCTTGAGAAAGAGAGAAGCATCATTTGTTGTTCCACTTATTATGCATTTCTATATGTGCCCTGACCTGGGATCAAACCCATAACCTTGGCGTATTGGAACAAAGCTCTACCCGACTGACCTACCTGGCCAGGGCCGCCTTTCTTTCTTTTTTTTGTGTGTGTGTGGAGTATCTTTAAAAAATCTTTCTCTGCCCAGCCAGTGTGGCTCAGTGATTGAGCGTGGACCTATGAACCAGAAAGTCACTGTTCGATTTCCGGTCGGGGCACATGCCTGGGTTTTGGGTTCAATCCCCAGTAGAAGGTGTGCAGATGGCAGCCGATCAATGATTCTCATCATTGATGTTTGTCTCTCTCCCTAACCCTTCCTCTCTCTGAAATCAATAAAAAAAATATAATCAATAATGTAGTCCTATCTCTGGACTTGCTAGTGCTTTTCCGATGCCCAGGCATTGTGTAGAAGAAAGTAGAGTGCCTCTAGATGTTTTTCTTCCCTTCTTTCCTCTGCTAGGCAGGCAGAATGGGGGCTGTGCACCCGAGTCCACTCGGGCCTGAGGGTGGAGGCTGCACCGTGACTTTGATGAGCTCCAGTTCCTAGTGAGCAGCCCTCCTGAGCTCTGGCCTGAAAGCCCTGTGTCCCCGCCCCCGCCGGCCCCGGGTTCTAATCACCAGCGCGATAAGCCTGCCAACAATTCCGTTCTGCTTTTCAGAGGTTTGAGGCTGAGCTTTTTATAGCCTCTGTCCCTACACAGCTCCAGAATTCGGTAAACATCTCGAGGAGAAGTCGTGTGACGTGCTTCCGGCTCCTCCGCGTCCCCACTCGTGTCCCTCCAGCAGTGAGACCACGAAGCTCAGCTGACTTCCCTGTTCCCTGGCCCAGCCCTCCCTGGGGGCCATGCCTGCCTCTAGCTCAAGCCCGGAACCAGCACATGCCCCGGGGCAAAGCCTGCTGGTGGTCAGCGCACCTGGCTGGCCTCTCCTCCTTTAGAGCGTTAGGCCCCCAGTCTGCTTCACTTAGCAGTTCCCTGAGGCCTTTTAAAAAGACAGTATTTGTATTTTATCTGTTTTTTCTACTTCCCGATTCCCTTACCATCAGCCGGAAGCAACTCCATCCGACTACAAGCCTCTAAGCACTTTTAAAGTGTTTACTTTCTTTCTCGGAGCTTTGAAAGCTGACTGTTCCTAAGGAATCAATTTACATCGTATCTTAAAAACATACTCCTACTGCTAAGTGGAAAAAACAACAAAAAACCCAAACTATGTTATGCCATGTTCCCCGTAATCATGCTGTGGGTAAAATACATTTACATACAGTTGTCCCTCAGTATCTGCTGGGCATTGGTTCCAGGACCCCTCCCCCTGGCAAATGCCAATTCCAAGGATGCTCAAGGCCCTTCTATAAAATGGCATA